TGTGCTTAGACACAGTCAAAGAACCGAAAACGCTTCCATGCTTGCATTCGTTTTGTTTAGAATGCCTTGACAAACACGCTGGATACGCAAGAAGACAGGGAAAAACGATGATCAAATGTCCGGTGTGCTTGGCTGACTTCAACATTCCAAAAAGTGATACGTTCTCTGATTTACCCACGTCGTTTCATCTCAATCGACTGGTGGATATTTTAGCCCTAAAAGATGATAGCGTGCAGATTCAGACATGCAATAGCTGCGATGATAACAGCGCTGTAACTTCGTATTGTTTTGTTTGTCAAAGCTTTCTCTGTGCAACTTGTCTTGAAGCGCATCAACGCCTGAAGGCGACTAGGGGTCACCGAAATGTTTTGATCGAGAAATTGCAAGCGCAAGATGTCGAAGAATTGATTCACCGACCTGTCATGTGCACCCAGAAGTATCACGAAAACGAATCACTTGAGTACTTCTGCAAAGATTGTAACACTTGTGTCTGTATGAAGTGTGGATTCGTAAGTCATAGTCGTCACACAATGTTAGATATTCAACAAGCAGCGGAAGAAAGAAAGGTTGAAATTACAAAAGCCGTAGACAAAGCAAAGGCGGAGATTGGTGTTGTGCAGAGAAAAATGGAGAGACAAAAAGAATTCATGAAGAAAAGCACCGACGAAATGCTTGCTGCTGAAAGTAAAGTCACGGCTATCGTGGACGAACTTGTCCGAATTTTAAGGGAACACGAAGCTGCTGTGAAGAAAAGATTAATTGAAATCAGAGAAGCACAGCAAAGAGATCATGCGACTCGAACAGAAGAGTTTCAGTTAACAGTTTCCCAACTCAATGGATTTGTTGAACGCGGAAATGCTATCCTAAACCGAAACATACCCTCTGAAATGATACGAACAGAGCTGACCGTCACAAGTCGGCTAGAAGAACTTTCGAAAGCGGCGGAAGTAATGATCCTTCAGCCACTTCATTTTAGCTATGTTGCAAACGAGAAACTTGAAAAATATAGGACCATTATGGAAAATTCAGGTCCAGGCAAAGTTATTGCGAGTTTAACCGATCCTGCACTATCGTTAGCGGGATGTGAACCAAAAGTTTTGGACACAATGAAACCATGTAGCGAAGTGGTTTTCAAATTAACAACGAGAGATTCAGACGGAAATCAGATTTACAATAAAGAAGACAACGTGACCGTGTCCATCCACCCTCCATCCGAAGTAGAAGAGGAAAAGATAATCAAGAATTTTAAAGACGGAAATTACAGCATTTCTGTTTTCCCAAAATTCGTCGGTGATCATGACATATGGATTGAAGTGAACGGGATACCGCTGACACGGAAAGTAACCATTGCGCATGAATACAACGTTACCCAGCAGACGTTCGATTTGCGAGGAAGAGAGAATTTTAACTTTCCGTGTAGTATTGCCCAAAGCGAAAGGACAGGAAATATTGCAGTGGCAAATTATGGTAGTGAGAAGGTATTATTGTTTGATGCTGGTTTCAAGTACCTAAGAACTGTGGTGAATTTAAGCCAAAAACAAAAACCAAGATGCGTTGCATTCTCAAAGGGCTGCGAATTAATAGTTGTTACCGAAGACTCCTCGAAGCAGGGCGAAATTTTAAGCAAAGTTTCTGTGTATACTGAAGATGGAAAATTCGTGAAACATATCAGCGAAGATTTAGTTAACCCATGCAGTGTTTCTGTCAGAAGTGATGGTAAAATAATCGTGTGTGATTCGGGTGATCTATGTATCAAGCTCCTCTCCGCTGATGGGGCAATGTTGTTAAAGTCTTTCAGATTAGAAAACTTTGACGCTTTCCCATGGTTTGCTGTTTACCATAGAAAAAAGTATTTTGTGTCGTATCGTATGGGTCCTTGTGTGAAGGTTTTCAACGAGCAGGGGGAGTATTTGCGTGATTTTGGACAGTTTCACTCTCCCGCAGGACTAGCGATAGACAAGTTTAACAACCTGGTCGTATGTAACGCAGTGCAGAGTGATGAAGTGAGGAGTAGTGTTAAAGTACTTACAATGAGTGGAAAAGTGGTTCAGGACTTAGGTTTTCAATCCATGTCATCTATGCCTTGCTCTGTCGCTGTCACTCAAAATGGTGATGTGCTCGTTTCTGATGTAGAAAAGCATGCCATTTACATCTTTCGCTATTTAGGACTTAAAGCTTGGAGTAAACGGGTTTTAAATTCGTAGCTGTAGAATGTGTATAACTCCAAATAAAGGACAGTGAAATACTGAAATTTATAATACTGTACATAGTATGCATCATTTGATCGGTAAATCCCCTTCCATGCCAATGTTTTACATCGCTGTTAAGTTCCGCAATGATGACGAGTGTAGTAGATGAATTTACATTCAGAAATACACTTTCATTACGAGGGAAAAAATACGTTTTCCGTCTAAGATTTTCCACCGTTAAGAAATTTGAAGAAAAATCATAATCTTACCGAGTCGATTTTGAAAACCAGAGTAGACTTTATAGTAGACTTCAGATCTAGCGTTGGTGGAAAGTTTCGATTTCTAGATGCTGTTTGGGAAATGAGCCCGTGTTCCTTTCCAAAATCGAACAAGAGGCGCGAGAAAAAACGGGTGAAATCGAGCCTAAATGTATCATTTATCCACTGTTTAGGGAAAGTGTGGTGTCTTTTAACTTTTATATTTTTGCGTCCTCCGATCACTCCAAGAGATAAGATCGTTGGCTGGTTTGGCATTATTATACTGGAATGGTATCTGTCGTCAATTGACCAAACCAATCCAGCTTGAATGACCCTGTCTGCATTAAAACGATCCCGGTGGGATTTCAGTATTATGTTTTCATCTGGTCAAAGAGGCAGAAAAAATTCCACTTAATCCCGTCAAATGGTTCAGGCCCAAAGAAACTTGAGGACGTTTCCTAGTAATTGCCTCGTCTCAAAAGAAAGGTAAACTCCAGAAATGATTTGATATTTACGTCACCGAGGAAGAAAACTTGAAAAAGATTCTAAAAATGTTCTTTTTATCGCAGCTTGAGATCCCAAAGTACAACTTGCCCTTTCTAAAATTTTCTTTGAATGCGCTAAGACTGCAACGACTCTATTTCCGCGCTCGTAGTCTATCCACTCTACTTTTCATTCAACTTATTTATTCCTGTTTTCTCCAATAGCGTAGCTCCACTTTCTGCATATAAACCCACACACAACCCATAATTCCTTCAATCGCTCTGACTAAGGGCTAACGTTCGAAACGTCAGCTTTTTTTTACCCTTTACGGTGGTCAATTTACGTTTTCAACTCAGTTGTTAACACAAAATTACCTGCTATCCACTCTACCACTGAGCCTCGAAGACTCTACACCAAGTTGGATCATATTAGTACTTTTTAGGTTCATGTTCGGCACGCATTCCTCATACTGCGAGGACAAGCAACTTTGAAAACCTTTTGTGATTTAACAGAATAAGAAAGATGGTGAATTTTACGCTCGGAAATGAAACTTGTACATGTTCTCCGTCTTGTCACAAGAGTAGGACACGACCCACTTGATATGACATATGGTTTCTCCATCAAAGATTATTTTAATGCAGACTTCCCGATCCCAAAAAGATAAAATCCTGTTTTTTTGGACGAACAGGAGCCAATTGATTTTCATCCATGGATAATGTGAGCTTCTGGTGAACAGGATCACTGACTTGCTGTTCGATTTTGCCCCTAATTACTAGGATTAGACTTCTTTTCCCAAGAGTTCGATTCGTTCGCCAAGAGTCATTGAATTTTTATCATACAGAAGTGACGAGAAAGCACCTTATGGGCACGCAAATTTTGCGCAAGTTACTAAAGAAATGATTGCTTCTTGACAAGGCCTCTAATTTTGTTGTAAATTGTCTTATACTTTTTCGTCTTATTTCAGAAATTTCGGATATGCTCACGGCCATTTGTCTATGTATCGTGTTTCATGTGTTCATCACATTTAGTTCAGGGATCGATCAGAACTAGTAGCAAAGAATGAATCCAGACCTAAGTTCAAAACACTGCAATATTCAGCTATTTTGATAATTTTAATTATTTATTTTTAAATTAATGGTACGTACTTTGTCTCGTCCGTATCCCTTTGTCCGATCCTAGATTTGTTTTGAAATGCAAATGATTTGCGGTACTGTGACAGTCCCAAGAGACCATGTTGTCATGGAGTTTACGCGCTAACTGAGCTGAGAAGGGTGTCTCTTGTGGCGAAGAACTGCTCATTCATCTGCCGGTCTAAGTAAATTTTCTCGCCGGAATGCACTTAAAGTATCCAAGGAAGAGGGATTTCTATAATTGGGAAGAGCTACGGTAGGTTTAAAAGCAGCGTTTTGAAATTATTGTTTTTTCCAGCAGTTAGCATCCAGCGGCTCGCATCCTGTTGATCGAATTGCAATAGCTTTGTTCTCGAATCTTCTTTCTACTCATTGGATTCGTTCGATTGCGTTGTAATAGAGCACTACTAACATCAACTATCTTGTTTTTGTTTTTGAAATCAAACAGCTGTCTGGCAAAAGCTTTGGGGGTAAGTTCTCTTCATTAGATGACTTATTTCATTTCGCAACCCTCAATTTACACGTCGTGAAGACAACAAAGTAGATGTTCTTTTCGGGTTTTCTTTGTTCTTCTTTGTTCATGAGGGGTTGTGAAAGGTAATTCCAGTGTGTAAGTAATTTTCTTTGCATTTCGGTTCCGCTAATTCTCTTTTATTTATTTATTTATTTTGTACTAGTAAAATGTGTTTTTAGATTTCTGTGAGTTTAGGATTGGGACGTAAACTGTTCGTCATGTCCGGATGCATGGACAGAAATAATTAGTCTCGAATTAGGTGACATGGTAATTTTTGGTCCTCACTAATAATTTTTTTCTTTCACATGTAGTTTCGAAAGGATCTTTTCCATAAAAATGTTCCCCAGGAACTTGAGAAGGATAGATCCAATGGCCTCAGCACAAAGGTATGTATACGAGAGGCTGAGAAGCAAGAGGAGACATCTTACTTTTTACCTCTGCGTGGGTAGATATAATATTCAGATCATTAAAGCATCTGAGGCCTAGCTGAAGTGTTTGTGGGTTTGTTTTGGGGGGGAAGGAGTGGTCCAAGGGTTCCTGTAGCTCCCACCTTGGCTAAAATTATACTTTTGAAGTCAGTAACACACAAAACAGTAAATCCAGGAAGAAAAAAAGACTACAACATAATCTGAAGAATCTATGCTGCATGCATGACTCTTTGCACTTGTAACAAAATGTCATTTTTAGTTAGACACAACATAGATGTTGTCATAACAGTGATGGTTGCAAAGGTACCTTGGACAGTACTTGGCATAATACCCCTTTTAACAACCCAAGCTGTACCCCTATACATTGTGAATCCTTCATATTAGTTCCACAGAATTAAGAAATTTATTAGTTGATTAGCACCTTTTGTTCTTGGGCAAGGACCTAATAGATGCTTTCTCCTAGTGCCTCTTGCTGCAAGTTTAATGGGCTGCCTTGAAGACTTGCTAAATGGTTATAGGGAGGGGGCTGGAAGAAACCTGTAATAGACTTAAGTATCCCTTCCTTTGTAGAGTAGCATTACTCTTAGTTCCTTGGTATTTCACAATCCAGAAAAAATATTGTCTCTATTTTTAAAGGAAACAAAAAATTTGACTGATGTACTTTCTACTTCTTTCATTGCTGGCTTATCTTTGCTCAGTCCATTTCAAACATGTTGGATATCAAGTGTCTCCATGGTGATATTCACCGTACATACAATATGCATGATGCATTGTACAACTCAAGAGTCATAGAGAAAGCTGTTGAAATGCTCTCGAACAGATATTTAAGGTAAACTGTCATGATCCTGATAATCTTGTAAACAATCTCTGTAATGGTTACTAAAAACAGTCAGTTGAGTGATTGTAGATAAAGTACACTAGTAGCTCAAGCTAGATGAAAGAGATAAAATGGAATAAATTGGGTAGTTGTCTCACAAATTTTATTTTTGAAAATTTAATGAATCACAAGATTGGGTCTCTTATATATATATTAATATCAAGACTTGAGACTCTGGGAAAAGGAAATTCCAGTAGTTGCTATGACATAAATTCTGAAATTTATGACAAAATTAATGGGTTTTTTTTTAATATCATGAAACATAAACAGTGGACAGTATTGAAGGCAAGCTCTGATTGGCTACGCAAACTCTGAATATCCTTTTCTAGTCTCCTGTTAGCAACTCACACAGAATTTGCATCTGAAGAAGGTTGTAACTTTTGTAAAGTTAAACTCATCTTTTTGTGCTTATTGTGTCACTGTTTTATTATAATCTAAAATAATTCATCTTCTCTTTTGTGAATATATGTAGTTGTAAATTATTGTGGTCATTACACCTTATTACGAATAGTCATTAGATGTGATTTCCCTCAGATATTTAAAATATACTTCTCAATACCAGACTTTGACCCCCCTCCCTCTGAAAATCCCTTAAAGTTCCAAACTTTTTTGCACACCCCTCTCCCCTGAAATTTTTAGTGACTCTCCTCCAACTGGGGAGGGATATTTTTCAGATTCATTTACTAAATAGTTAAAAATATGTCACAAAGTTAGAAAACAATTAATCACAACTTTTTGTCTCAGTTTTCAGGAATTAAGAGAAGTTCGTGTAGCTTTTCAGTTGTATGAACATGAAGACATGCTGGGTTTGGTTACTGATGAGCACACTTTACTTAGAACTTTGAAGGTAATGCTTATTTTTATCTTAGTAGGAATTCATGATACAGAGTGAATAAAACTAAACCCTTCACACCCTGATGTTAGTATGTATATTCTCCATACTGTTCTTGCTATATTTTCTAAGTGATGACAAAGAGAATTTGTTCAACAATCAAGAGCTTCTTTAGTTGGTGATCATATCCTTTATTCTCATGATCTTAATGTTTGATTCAGGGGTGATATTGTAAGGAGAAATTGGAAGCTAGTCACTCTTAGGGATTTAAGGTTTAAATGCTCTTGATAATAATAACATAGTTTCAAATAATCTTTTTCTCCCCTTAAATAATAATCTTTGCATTCAACAGAGAAAGCCTGATCTTGTGTTTGATATATGGGTATTCCTCCTCTCTTAAATAGTGAATCTGCATTTTTTTGTTTTCAGATCTGTGGAAGAGCTGTTTCACCAGTAAAGCTGAAGCAACACGTGAGTGAAGCTCTTTTAACTTGTTTTAGAATTATGACTAAATTCATATAAATTCTTGTCAATT